TAGTTCTTTCTTCAAATCCAGGATGGTTGAATATTAAGAGGAAGACTGATCACTTTCCGCCCTTTTTACTTGCTGGGCTGCTCCGTTCAATGGATGGCCATACACTTTGTTCTCGAACAAGTGTGTTGTGCATGGAATCGCACTAACCGGTCGGAAAATGGCTGCAATTTATAGCGTTTTTTGGGTGATCGTGACAAACGACAGATTAAAGTTGGACGAATGATCGTCAGTGATCGTGAACACACGAGGTTTGTTTCTTTTACCACACGCAAGAGCAATGTACATGTACACTATTAATTTTTACACTGCTCACGCACTGCACGTCCTGCGTCTTTCCTACATAGATGCTCCAATATCACTTTAGACATAAAAACTTTAAACATCGATTAAATTAATTTAATATGAAAAGCGAGCTGAAGAGTTTTGAACCAGAGTGGAAGGCGTGAAAGCTACAAGGTCAAAACAATTTCAGGATGAATGTGCTCATCATGATCGCACATTTTTTTATACGTAAATAATTAATGTACATGTACCTGTATTCATCAGGACGTATCCTCGTAATAATACCCCGAATGGGCCACTTGTTCAGATGAAATCTGATTAAAGTGGCCAAAATTCTTAGCGTCTTTCCGAAGCAAATTTTAATCTCAATCAGACCAACTCTCTTTGAAGTAACAGTAGCTTGCTTTGAATTTTTTTACCATACTTTCACAGTTTGGACAAAATAATGTCAACTATACAGTCATGAAGTATAGAATAGTTGAAAAATTCACTATTTTTGTACTTTTATCAACTCCTGTCTAATTAACACAACGTACTCTTGTTCTTTATTACAATCGTAATCGTTCCGACTACTAATCCAACTACACGGTCTGTGGTAATACAACTTTGAGTTTCTATATGTTTTCTCTCCATCCTGCTAGATACTGGCTTCAAAATTTGTTACTGTCGTTTGCACCGGAACGCTAATTTGTAAGCTTCTTTATACTTCCTGTTGATGACTCCGTAGATGAAAGGATTGATCGCCGAGTTGATGTAAGAGAATATGCGGACGACCTGGACCAGGACAAAAGCTTGGTGTTCATCCAAGACATACACGTCTCCACGGAAGTAACCGATCAAGAAGCAAAGCTGAGTCACCTCAAAGGGTGCTAGCAGGACGAAGTACGCGACGCCTGTGACGACCAGCATGCGAGCCGCCATATTCCGCGCGTACGGTCCAGCTCTCACATGCGCTTGGCCGTGAGACTCCATTGCGGCCACCTGTCGTCCCAAGGCGTGAATGATCTGGATGTAGAAGACGAAATTCGCCACCAGAGTCACAAAGAAAGGCGAGGTCCTGCACAGGAGCATGTACGACTCGAGCCAGTCGTAAGGCGCCACGTACGCGATGAGAAAAAGCGGAAAGTCGCCGCCTTCGTTCCCGTTAGGCCATCGCAAGCAGTACTCGATCTTCACTCCACAGGTTGGTAGGAAAGTCAGAGAGAGCAGTACAGCCACCAAGCAGGCGCAAGCGATGGCCCGGACTGCTCTACGGCCACTCCGGCCCCGGACCACCCGCAAAGGGTGACACACGGCATAGAACTTCTCCAGTGACACCAAGCAGATGAGGAAGAGTGTTGTGAAGTAAGAGGTATTGGTGATAAAGGTGGCTACCATGCACCCCGCAGTGCCCCCGTATCCGTACTGATCATTGATCAAAGGAGAGGACAGGAACAAGACGAGTTTATCCATGACGCCTCCACATATGTCCATGGTGTCGGCCACCGCTAAACTAACTAAATAGTAGTTTGTAGGCGTCCTCATGTGCGGCAGACGAGATACGACAAAGATGAAGGCGCTGTTGGATAGGACCCCGAGAACGGCTATGAGCGGCAGCACCACTGTCGTCATGATAGTCTCACTGGTTGGGTGTGGCATAGCAAAAACATCATCATTCGAGATATTGTATTCTCTTCCCTTGCACTCCATCTTAACAACTGACCAAACTATTAGGTCCTTACAAACCTGTTTCTGTCGGTTTTCTTCGAGGTGAGCAGGAAGGAGTTGTGGAGCATCGATTTTGTTGCTGTCACTGTAGGAGTGGGCAAATTTCACGGGCCCAAACACGTCATCACGACGTCCAGCATGGATCAAAGCTGATTTTATAGGTTTTTGCACGCTTCAGCTGTACCCACGACGCACGACAAAATACTTAAGCTTCCCAGTCTTTTGTTGTCTGTTATTATCCGTCTTATCACGTATTAAAATCTTCAACGTATCAATCTTGGTCAGCCTTTTACCTCGCCTTTCGCCACGGAACCAGTTCCTTGGAAAAGCCTGGCATTTTATCCAGACACCACTGCCGAGTGAAATAAGACTAATCGCTCGGAGAGATGCTTGAACGAGCCTCTGTTTGTATTCTTGAAGTGTTCAAGTTACGGTCATCGTAGCTTCTAACCAAATCAACTGGTTTCTTCATAAATGAAACATCGGGACGCAGTAATTAGCATTGCAATACCAAGCGGCGTATTTGGTGTCAGTTTAACGTAACAATATCGTGATTCGGAATAACTTGCACTGTTGCCTTCTGGATTTGCGAAGGATGTCGGCTTTAATATCCACCTCTTGCATCACAGCTAATGACCATTTCCATGAAGAAACAGTATGTAGGGCATCTGAGAAGGCTTGGTGCAGTAATGAGATTCACCATGCCAGCCCAGGATCGATCCACTAACCGTGATTCTCTCCAGATCGGTTGATTCACCTGGGATCTGACAAACAGCACGATCGTCGTTGTCCTTGTTGCTGTAGAAGCCAGTCCATGCATCTTCAGCAGAAAAAAAAACCAGATGCGAAATGAGTGCAGAATGTGGATTTTACCACCTGCTCGGATACTCAGATTTCTTTTATGGTTATTAATACTGAGCAAGAACGAGCGCGTTAGGCAATATTCAAGATCACCTGCAATGGAATGGTCCTAAGTCACTCATGAAGACGCAGTAAGAAGCAATGTTGTAATGGCTACCTTCAACGGAATTATTCAAAGCAGCTGGCTTGGAATTTTCTCAAACGGGACATACTTTACCAATAGGCGAATTATCGTATCGATCCACATTTTGATGGAATTCATGCATAGCGACCAGACTATTAACGTACCGTTGTGTATTTTTCAAAGGATTTTACAGGTGAATTGACTATTCCGATCTCATTGACTGAGTCAAGTTGACGTTTGGTTCTGACATAAACCATAACAATCTTCACAACCTCAGAGATTAATTTCTATGAATACGAATGGAACGTGGAACTCTGCGGCCTTTCTCACCAGCTGCCGCTGAATACTCTTTGTTGTGTAAACTTAGTGATCCCTGGACAAAACGCCTGAAAACGTTGCCACAAGGTCAAAAATTGTGCCCTTTTAAAACAAAATTTGACGCCTCAACTTAATAATAATCATTTTGTTCACTCAGGATGTTAAAATTCAGAGCTTCGGTGCCATAAATATGTAAGTTACAACTTTCTTAATTAATTTTTGTCTTTTTCAAATTCAATTATTTTTCGTGGGCCACATGGTTGGTAAGATATTTTTAAACGAAACTCCTCGGTTTACAAATTACATTAGATGATCGATGTAGCCAGAAGCGGTCAATGGCAAAGAAAACGTTAAGTACTTGGCTATGGCTTGTTGCTTCGATTGAGCTTTTTTGTCACACGATTCAATCAATTTGATTTTCAAGCTGTATAATGACTAAAAAGAAGTTAGGTCACTGACGACGTCATTTCATGGAGTAGTTAATCTGCAAACACAGCCCCGCCCTCAACATCTTTCGTGTAGGCCTATTGTTGTATCTACGGCAACGAGGCATGGGGCCAATTTCCTTCGCCAAGAAATAAATACGGCTTGGACACCTTAGAAGGCAAACACCGCAGGATTGTGATACTTAAGCCTATCTGCACTACATAATTTGATTATTGCACTTCATTTTACCATTAGTCGGTGGCAAATAAGGCCAAAAAACCTTTTACTGCATGAAGAAAGCATTGGTTGGAATCGTAAATATTAATTTGCCGACAATGATTTAATATAATTTTCAGATGCGGCATTTCACGCAAAGATGTGGGCACAAACAATTATTTGTATTGTCATATTGGTCTCGGGTTATCGGCAGTTAATTGTTTAATAGAGGGCAACACAGAATCTAGATCCATTCTAAAATACCTATTAACTTTTTGTTCGAAAGCTACAAAATTCGAAATTATTTCGAATGTGAATTGCATTCTACCCTTTAGTTGGCCTTTGTTCGTTTTTTTTCTCTTGTATAGGCAATATTCTGCAATAATTTCCTAATGTTTACTTTTTTTCCAATTTCAGTCAATAAACTCTGACGTGGCACCTTTTCAGTTTTTGCACGCCCGTGTTAGTTTGTCCCTCTAATGGTCAAAATTATTATTACATAAGACTCATAAATCACATTTTCCCGCTAGCTTTCTGAATAAAAGAGATGGAAACTTAATAGGCAGGCATGTGTGTGTCATTTTGCGTGGTAACTCACAGAATTTTTTTCCACATGGCCCTCTTTACTTACTTAGCCTTAGTTCAGTTTCTTTTCCGCAATAATTCCCTAATGTTTAATTTTTTTCCAACGTTCTTTTATTTCTCTCCATATTCCCAAATCCTATCGTTGAAAAATGTAAACAGATGTGATCGAATGCCTCTCAACCGGATTTTGACGTTTGAGAACTTCTCTTCCCCACTCTTATTTGTCATAATTCATGGTGGTCAAAAACTTTGGTATATGCGGTCAATTGAAGTTGTGGAATTGTAGTTACGTGTATAATGATACAAAGTTTTCCAAATAACAGCTAAGAGTTATTAAGTATCGCTCAGATATGGTCCGTCACAACTGTACAAAAAATTCCTTTCTTCTCCCCAAAATATATTTCCTTTCCACAAACAGCCTTCATTTCATGTCTTGATTTTGCTGTTTGATCGGTATTCGAAATTAGTATGGAAAACGTGTGACTATTCCGTCTGCATACAAACATTAGCAAATGTGCTGTTGAAGGGATTTTCTTGTAAATCTCTAGAGACTTGAAAAAGGTCTAAGCAGGGTATGCAGAACTGGCACTTGAGTGACTAAGGTAAACTGATGGACAACCTGCATTCAAAGGGGTGAATAATGCATAGGACTGGATTGCTTCAAGATGAAAACGTCCAGAATACAGGCACTTATCTTCATACATGTGAATAAAATGCAGTTAGATGGACTGAAACATGTCGAGCAATAATTTGTCCCCAAACTGGGGTTGACCATATGGGTCAACACAGACTTCCCAACCGCGATGATTTCTCATCTAATATTTTGTGTCATATAACAATAGTTGTAATAGTTGTCAAATGCACAATCATTTACTCATTTCTACTTATTTCCCTCAACAGTTAGGCGATTCATCTGGTTCTCTGAGATTAGCCCAAAATAAACTGGCCCACAACGTTTTTTTACAATGTATTTAACAAGTTTATGTTCATTTTTTAAAAAGAATTCCCGATGACAACCACAACTTTTGTGGATACCCAATATTAGAAATGTGGAAATAAGCAAAATGCACCCAAACAAGAAGATGACATGTTTAAACGGGGGTCTAAAAAGGGTTCTGGGGCGACAAAACTCGAACAATTATTAGACTGCACATCGTTTGCAGCATATTTTGTGTAAATTCACTGAAACTAATGGGAAAAAATGGGTAAAGAAACTACGTGGACTTACCTTCGAGAAGTCTTCCTCCCGCTTTCTCCTTTCATCAAAAGATTGTTGTCAGGAAAATACGAATCTGTTCGGCTGTACGGATGCGGCAGAACACACTGGCAACTCCGAACCGTTGGTTTACACGTTCAGTGCGCACGCATAATGCTGCTTTATACATTGTCAGTAAGACTTGTTAGACTTGCTTTCAGTCTAAGGATACTCGTGTAAATCACGATGCACTTCAAATTGATAAATCAGCCTGCAATGACGTTTCCTTGATACGGGCTAGAACACGCGAGAAAATTGACCACAATCAATCCACGCGACTAACGATCGAGGCCTTTCATTGAAGGGTATGGCAGTGTTAAATATTTGCAAGATTGCCATCAGCGAGCACGTCAGGACGAAACATTATGCATGAAAGTTTATGAGCAAGCATTGGCGTGTTCAGAATTGATTGGGGAAAAAACATGAGTTCAGAAATGGCCTTCCCACCACTGGCACGCGCCCGTCGCTGGCAGCGTTCGAGCTTGTTAAGCGATCCCCAAGCGCCCAAACGACCCGTGAGCAGTGACACTGACACCTCATATGTTGTTCCTTAATTTTGATGGCCACAAGGCATTCGGCGGGCAGAATCCCACTCATAAAAAGGTCGCCCAGGTCAGCCAAGTTCACGGTAAAACCCCCAAACAGTGGGCTGGGCTGAAAAGAGCTTTTTCTTTTTCTCAGGCATCCTGGGTCGTATTGAACCTTTTGGGCCTAATGCAACTCATTCATTCCGCGGTACTTAACGTATGCATAAAATGTCGCCTGCACAATTTCTATCTGATAACAAGTCCAATCTCTTGAGTGTACATTTTGCAACGTCGTACCATTAACGTAGAAATTTTAGAGGGCTGTGTATAGACGTTTAGAGTGCCAAAGTCACAATTTTTTATTCAACCCTTCAAAAACTTTACATGTCGTGAACGTATTGTTGTCAGTGAATTTTGCCTGATAATTGACTACAATAAAGCCACACTGCCGTGCTCATATACAGTTACAACATTTATGATTTTTTTAGCTGACAAAAATTTGACATGATAATTAATTTTGTTCAAGTATTAAGCAATAGCAGCAACTCGCTTAAGTTTGCTGTAAATAATTGTTACTGCAGACGGTGGAGATGGTCTTTATATTCATTTTTCCCTCTAGGTAATTTAAGTGCTACGTCGTGTACCTTTTAATCAAAATGTTAATTTTTATTGTGCAATTTTACGGGTAGTGTTGCCTCTTTGATTTTAGAGATGCAAATTCGAATAAGTATGAGAAAAATGCAATATCGTCCAAAACTGGAAGCCCCGCCATTACTCCAGTAACGTTGCTTGTTTTTATACTATAGCATAGTTCTTTCGTAATTTTGTTTTCTTTGATAATTCGCTTTTGTTTCGGTTCTTAATGATATGTCAGTGTTTTTTTTCACAAACATTTTTATTCAGCATATGATAACTTGAACAGAAGCCCCCCAAGTCTGCCTGGCATTACCGTAATAGCCATTTGATTATCAGGAATTACAAAGCATG